TTTAAATCATTAATTCAATGTGGTATAAAGAAGAATTTTATTATGAAAAATTTTACATTGATTGGAGATGTAAATTCAAGAGATATTTATGAACATTATTTGAATTATTTCACAAATGACATTGATTTTGAATATAACAATCAAATAAATAAAACACAGATTTTTTGCGGTTAATTCAATAATATTAATTTGTTTTTTAACTTAAGAATTGTAAAATATTACTTGTGTTTTAGTAGAATACAAATATATGATCTCAAGATGATACTTTTTTGTAATGATATTGTTAATAAATATTTCAGTTGCTAAACTATATAAAAACAGTTCACGTAGACAAGAAGATAGAATTCGAACTGAAATTAATCTTCATACAGTGAAAAATAATAAAAATTCAAGTAGATAAATTATATTCGATCAATGAATTTTAAATACTGTTCAAGATATAAGAATTTCATTTAGTAATAATTGAATATTGAAAATTATTATAGATAACTTCTAATAACGGTATTTATTCAGTAACAAACTACATAGTCCATCAAATTTACTTCTCTTGTCTGCATACATTGAAATATGGCTTCATTTCATTAGTGTCGGCAATGTAATCACCAAAAATATAATAATTTTCGTTTCTGTTTTCTTGCCATCGAAGTATTTTGTTGTTTCGACTTCGTTCACGTGTGTTTGTTTATGGTAATGAATACGCCTTGTCCTATAAAATTTGCGTTTTTATTAATAAAAATTCATTACAATGCTTTTTGTATTAATCACATTCAAAACTAAACATAGTCAAAATCAACATTCCTTTCTGCCCATTCTATTCTGAATTTTTTCAATTAAAAAATAAAAAAGATGACCTATTAGTTTATGTATATAATTATATTACAAATATTGCTTTTCTTTCGGAAAGAAAAGGTTATTAAAACTATTTTTTACGAACTGTACTGCGTTTAAATAACAAGAAATGGCAACATCGCAAAATAAAACTCCTCGAGTAATAAAATTTTTGAGAAAACATGTAGCTGTAAGTTTCAATGATAATCAGTAAAATGTAAGATTGTAATTTCAATCTTATCGCATTAGGATTCTTCATCATCGGTTCGAGCAGTAAATCAAATACACTTTGATTTTTCTGGTGTTCACATAACAAAAACAGTAAGAAGATCAAAGTCAGAACAAATAAAATCGTTAGATTACAATACAGACGATCATCGTCCTTTAAATAAAAGTTTTTACAATAAGTTTAAGAAACAACAACATGTAACATCCATTTAAAAGCAAAGATTTTGATTTTTTGTTTTAATACTATATAGATTGTGGCACCAGAAAATACATCAAATGTAGAAGATGTTGAAACTGAAGAGAATGATCATACACAACAACAAACAGTATCACCTAAAATAACAACAGTTCAACGACTGAAAGTAATTTGATATAAACTTTAATTCATTTGAAAACTAGATTAAAATAAAAGATCTCGTGAGCAATACATTTCTGACTATTTCCATGTGATTTAGTGGAAATAACTATATATTTATAATTCTAGAATGAATTATCACAGGATGATTTTGATTTGTCTAATGTACAAATAACGAAAGTAAATCAATCATCTCGTGATGAAATGGTATGTATTGAACATCATTTAAATCGAAAGAGTGTATAAAAAATGTTAAGAGATAAGTTTTCTTAGACTGTTCTTTCTAGAGTTATAATCACTGTAATGAAGTTTTAGTCTATAGTATGATATGTATCAATGGATAGAGTGACAATAGTTCGGTTTGATATTTAACTTATAGATAAATCTACCTATGATTAGATTGTTTTTACAAGAACTATTTTAAGCTCTTCAAAAATGACTCATCATTCATAAAATATTTTTCTGAGTTGAAACCTAAAGGGTATTCTAGTTACGAGTAGAAAGGGCTGTGTAAGTTCATTGCAACTCGAAATATTGTCATTTTTAATTTATTGATACAGACATTATAATAACTTTAAAAAGAAAGTTTCTTCCAGTGATTTTGATATGCACAGAGTTTAATTGAAAGCCAATTAAGTAAGTGAACCAATTGTCACTTTACTTGTGAATATCAGAATTTGTTACAAAAACATTTGTTTTATATACAAATCTAGTTACGTATATTTTTTATAGGAGCGTCAAAATTTTAGGTTACTAACATCACAACAAATCGATCCTGAATATCATGATTTATCACCAACGAGTCCTTCGATAGAATCAATTAATTCTGAGCCTTCAACTAGTGTTCCTCGTAGGGTAATACTTCTGGTTTCATTTATTTATTTCATATTAATTAGATTTTTTTCTTTCTCATAATAGCGTAGAACATATTCTAGTATAGACTATGAACCACTAGCAATCAGTAATATTGCTCTTAAGAAGAAGTTAGAAACTAAATCTTGGTGGAAAAACAGGTATATAAAAAAAATATCTTTAACTATTGTTATACTGAACTTTATTTTTTCTGAATTTCTAGATGTGCTTGTTGGTACTGTTCACCATTTTGCTTTGGTCTCTTGAGTATACTACTTCTGTTGTTCATAGCTGTAGCTACAACAGCTGTAATATTTATTTCAAAGAGCGATAATGGTAGAAGTATAGAAACAATAAATTCATGTATAAAATTTCTTTTTACAGTTTTAACAACAACCAATAGCGCCTATATTAATACAACAACAATAAGTAGTGCTTACATTAATATAACAACAACAGGTAGTACTTCTATTAATACAACAACAACAAGCAGTGCTTATATTAATACAACAATAAGCAGCGCTTCTATTAATACAACAACAGCAACAAGTAGTGCTTATATTAATATAACAACAACAACATCTAACAACAGCACAAGTAAGTTATAAGATATATTTCAGTTTCGATCCTCTATATTTGCTTCTGATTTATATTTATAAGAAAAGAGAGTATCGCCAAGTAGATTGAAGCAATTATTAAATAAAACGAACGTTTTAGTTTATAATAATCGAGATATGTCATACTACAGTAATGCTATTTTGATGGAATACCCTGTTATAATTTACTGATTTACTTTCGACACTTTTTTTAATGCTTCACATTATAAATCAAAGGAAAATTTTTAGTAAGACAGAATCTTTCTACATAAAAATGAAAAATCATTAGATGTTTATTTAAGTATAACGTATTAAAATATTATTCGGATGAGTTAATGAAAATAAAATTTATGAATCAAATACTTGTGTACTCTTAATGATACGTATATTAAGACATTAAAAATTAAAGAAATATTGAGGATAGTTTTATTAGAATTTTTTAAATTCATTGAAACTGTTAGATGTATAAGTTCATGTTATATACAATACATCCAAACTATATTTGCAAGAGATCATAATTCAAAAAGAATGGCATTGCCATCATTTAACATGTGACGAACAATACTGCACGAGTAACTATGAATGTGAGTAGATGCGAAAGTTACCTGTGTCTGATTATGAAGAATACAAATATCGTTAGATGGTTGGGAACAATCTATTTTTCTTTGTTATAAATTAGCTGAGTACGGACTGAGTTTCTACTCTTGACTAAACACATTGAAATATTGATACAATTTATTCTAAATTTTTTTGATTCTCCTTTGCAATGATTTATTACATCCATGTTTTATAGCTCAAATTATGTGATAATATTTAAATATTTTAAAAGAAAAATCATGTTCCTAAATATTCTTTAGCCAAGAAACTCGAATTCAATTACCTAACTTAATTAAATGTTTTCTAGCAATATCCTGTTCTTCTGGTTATATACCTGCACCATCAGGAATATGTGTCAATATTCAAATTGATTTCAATAATTGTGGTTCCATTGGTTATGTATGCTCTTCGAATTACACAAGTTGCTCTGCTGGTGTATGCAGTACTGTTCCTGCTGTACAACTAGTTGGTGGTATCGGTGTTTTCAGTTCCCTTCCTATTGATGATGATGTTGCACACGTTCATCTACCTCTCAGTATAACGATGTATAATTATTCAACTTCAAATGTTACTATCTCGAGTAATGGTGTAAGTAGAATAATCATTTACTTTTATAGGTAATCATGTAAATGGTTGAACATATTTATACATAGTATAGATATATAATACTTAGAATATAATATTGTTGTTAGAGATATTTGATATAAATAACAATTATGTTTGAATTGAATATGAAATAATATAGATTGTTTGTCTCGGTGGATGTTCTGATACATATAGTAATGGAAATCTTCCAGAAAGCAGCATTTCACCTCCGACAGCTTTCGGCTATTGGAGTGATCTTTACATTCAATCACATACTTCTCAAAATATATACTATGGCGTTGATGGAATAGCACCTAATCGAACAACGACATTTGAATTTTATACAACTCATTTCGGCAATAATAATCAATATTATCACTTTCAAATCGTGTTCTATGAAAATATGCCTAATATTGTCAAGTATATATATTTTCAAGCGTCTGATGGAGGTGTATCAGCAACAATCGGTGTGCAAAGTGAGTCATTTTATTCACGTGTTTTTTTTCTCCAGTTTACTAAATAAATGAATCTAAATTTCAGAATCTTCAAATGGACCTAGTATAACATATTCAGTTGATCGAGCAAATTCCGTTACAAGTAATATGACATTAATATTTGATACAAGTGCAGGCACAGTTGTGGGCTAAATGAAAACATTCATACATTGATCGTATGACAAATGAATTTAAAATTATGTTGAACTAATTATTTTTATTCCTCTTCACGTCTCTTTAATATGTGTGTACAAATAAATTATGAATTAATTTGATAGATATGTTTAATTTTGATATAATTATTTGGAAGTTAAAATTTATTGACATATTGAATTCTTCTTTCAATAAATAATTATGAAGATTTTCAATACATAATTCTTAATTTGTCTCATACATACAAATATATATGAGTTACTAATTCATAAATTGATATATTCTAATCGTTATATCCTTTATAAAATGAATAGAAATTTAGTTAAATGATTGGTAAAGTAGTACATGAATTCGTTTTTTTTGTTTTATAATATACAGAACAATGTGCCAATGATAAAGTAATTTCTAATCGTATTTATATGATTGTGCATATAAGTTTCAGATAAATATGACATTCAGATTACTGTAAAGCTCGTATAAGATAAGGGTACGTAACTATAAGTAGACTAGTAAGAGTAGAGTGAATATAGGTCAATATAAGCATGAGAAATGTATCATACAACGGAGTGCATACTAACGCCTACATCCTTGTGAATATATGTGATATCAAAGTATTTCTTTTATAGTACATCCATGTGTGTTAGGATGAATAATCATGACAAAGTTATTTTTAAAAATAAACTTTTTTTCTATGATACTGTCTTGAGTTTGGAATATGTATCATCAATATTTTGATTTTATTGAAAAGACCTATTTTTAGCTTATTTGTTCTAATGCAATCATGTATGAGAATCTAAATTTAAAAAACGCATGTTAATGTAAATGGTTTCTTTCGAGATTTTTTTTGATATAATGTTAAATGACAATTTTTAATCTAAAAAAAAGGAATTTTTTGTGAGAAAGATCATTTAAAAGATTTTTTGTTTGGTATAATCATAGCCAATACATTTATAAACGATCTCTTCACTAGTAAAAACCAGAATTCTCTAGCATGTCGCTATCAAAAATATAACTATTCATTTTAGTCTTCGAAATAGATAATAGGAGCACATGAATTTTTAATTATTGATTACCTAATAACGTAATTTATAGGTAACGGTAACCTTCATCTCTATTGGGATATAGTAATAGCAATACTACTCAATATTAATATTAACCGATACGATATAGTATTGATTTTATTATTTATCTATTTTCCTTTTTCTGAATTACCTGATTCTTCTCATGTTTTTGAGTTCCATTCACATTGCGACTATCCACTTTTTTTTTGATTGATCAATAATCAAATTCGAAAATTTGCGAGCGTCGGACTCATTCTATTCGATCCTGTGAAGGTTACAATATTGACAATATTTACTTGCTTATGTGAGAATAATATTTTGATAAAAGTGCGCATAAGAAAGATAATAAAAGAAGCATCTGATAAAAAATCACACACTCCCGCATTTGCATATTCATGATTATCTTAATAAAATCAAAAAAAATCGACAACAATAAATAGTGCGCATTTGATCACACAATATTCATTCTTTTCATCATATTAAATTTTAAGAATAACAATGCTAGTACTAAGCATAGTTTTCTTGTGTATTGGTAAGTTCTTTTTTTCATCTATGAAATTTAATTTTAATTGTTTCATTTATTTATAAAGGTTTGACAGCTGCGAAGTGGCCAGCAAATACATGTGGTGAACGTCCTTTACATGCAGGCAAAGTTGTAAATGGTGTCGTTGCTAAAGAAGGAGATTGGCCATGGATGGTAAGATATCTTTTTACTATTTAATTATTGTCACCCTGAAAACATTTCATTTACAAATGGATAGTGTTCAATGTTGTTCAATGGTCGACACATTTGTGGGGCTACACTCGTTCATCAAAAATGGGTTGTTACTGCTGCTCACTGTGTGTAAGTTGATTTACATTGAAGATTGACTTTTTGTTTGAAAGAAAAAATTATTTTTAATAATTATGAATTTTGCTTTTAAACAGAACTGACAAAACTGCATCCAAATACGTACTTGAATGTGGTCTTCATCACCGAACTAATAAAGTAAATTCGATTCAAAATATATAATCATACATAATACTGATTATCATTTACTTATAGGAATCATGGACTCGTTCATTCAAAGTTCTTCGAGTCTTAGGACATGCTCAGTACAGTAGCTCAAACTATCGAAATGATATTGCCGTTATGGAATTAGAAGTAAGTCCTTTCTCTTTCTCTTTCTCTTTTTGTATAATAAAAACGATTTGTCATTACACATGAAATTTTTTCAATGTAGACATCAGCTTATATACCAGGCAAAACCGAATGGGATGATTATGTTATGCCCGCCTGTGTTCCACCAACTGGTTCTGACTATGCCGGTAAAACATCATATGCTACTGGTTGGGGAACTCTCTCTTCTGGTGCTTCAACATTACCTCTTCCTCTTTATCAAGTTGACTTACGTATATGGAGTAAAACAGAATGTCAAGCTTATGCTACAATGGCACATCCAACCACTCAAGTTTGTGCTGGTGGACCAAACAAAGATACTTGCCAAGGTGATTCAGGTGGTCCATTGACTGTCTTCGACGATGCCAAGAATAAATGGCAATTGATTGGTGCAACATCATGGGTATGTAGTTTACCTCTAATCTATTTGATGTTTTATTCTAATCAAAATACGTTTTTTAATATAGGGTTACGGTTGTGGTCAAGGAGGTGTCTACACCCAAATTGAATATTACCGCAGCTGGATAGAATCAACATGTGGTATCACATTAATAAATTAAAGTTTTGTTGTCAACTAATCTTATATTAATGCCATCATATTTCATTCAATAAAATTATTGAATTAATTTAAATTTTATTTCACGTTTCTATGAATAGATCCGCTATAGAAAAATGATCCGAACATATCATTGACCTCCTATAGTATTCTATTTAATAAGTAGTGCTTATGAACATATTCACAGAAACATATTTGACTGTTCACTTTCACAATCAGTAATAGTTGAATAATATCACAGATAACAAACTTTATAGGCAGACTTGATTCATAAAATGTTTGTAGTTTATTTTGTAATAACACGAACTAAAAACAAGTACAAGAAACCTAACAAACAAAAGTTTATTAATATATAAGCAAAACAAAATATTATATCGTACAAAATTGTTCAGAGCAATTAGTACAATTTTTAGAATTATAATATGAATCAGTTCTCCTGTTAAATGTTCTATTAATGCGACTGTATATACTGCTATTGTTGATCTTCTGTTGATATTGAGCTTTCTTTTTTCAATTTTATCATTTAGACTAACGAAAGTCTATTGATTTTTATCGAAAATACATTACTTGATACATTTCATATGGTATTTGACTTGATTTACGTAGTTGTATTACTTTGTGTTATTTGATTTCAAAAGTTCTATAATTTATAGGTGTCGGCGGCAGATTTCTTGTATTCATTGATTCTTATATATAAAATTTTCTCACAACTCAATAGATTGTTTGCAGAAAACCTAGCGGAAGATCTCAGGATTTATTTTGAGAAAAAGCTGGTCGACACAATTTGATATAGTTTCATCTCTTTTTTCGATTAGTGTAAAGCACAAATCTTCAATTAATTTCTATCAGGAATTATTTCAAAACTATTCACCCTTCTTCTATTTTTGTTCGATCAAAAAAGAATTATAATTCAAAGAGATCGAGTATTGAATCACTGGTCTGTTATGAATAATTACTATATTAAATGTTGTGCGATTGATTTCAAATATTAATTCAATAATCGTATTTATTAGATCATTTGTTAAAAGAGAAATCTCTTCATTTTCCAGCAGAATTATTACAGATATTTGTTGAGATCGTTAAAACCAATACGATTAATATTGAAGATACATTATCGTATATAATTAATAGAAAGCCTGAATTTAATTAAATAAAGTACTTTTCCTCTCTTCATATATTAACAGAGAACGAAGAGCAGAGCGAATAATGAACTTACCTCTGCATGAAACGAAATAAAATTTGAATCGACTAATTATTGGAATTTAATGTAGTGATTAAATTCTAACTTATCTATTGTATATCATAACCAATACGAAAATAAACTAACTTGATTATCTCAGTGAGTCATACTTGCTACTTACACATACTTCATGAGATATCTAATTCCACTTATAATATAAATGAATATTCAGAGAATTGTTCTCATTTTGAAAATAATAATATATTGATGTATATCATTTATATAAACATTTCTATCAATGATAAATAGGTTCAAAAAAACATTTCTTTTTTTCTTTCCTAACCTAAAATAAATGGTTCATTTAACACAATTATATAAATCAGAAATTATGATAAAAGAAAAGTTTTCTTTTTTCCTTTTCCTAACTTTACAGTACATTGTTCATTTAGCATAATTATATAAATGAGAAACCGATAAAATAGTTTTTATAGGTATGAAGTGCGCTGATAAATTTTTGTTTTCGTTTCATTTATATTATAAGTCGAATTAGGCAAGAACTCACATATTTATGCTTTAGAAAAAGATTTTGAATACCATTTTATTAGCGAACAAAGGAATGATCTATACAGTAACGATTTTTTTTCTAGCATATTATTTTTTATGAGTAATGTTACCCGTTTACTAGTTAGCTAAGTTCGCTCAAGAAAAGTAAAGCAATGTTGAGTAAGATCATCTTATACTGATCGCTGAGCAAGTCAATATAATATCACTTGATGGAATGATGTTTATAAAAAGATGTTGTTTAGCACGGCATGCAGTAGTAGTACTACGGCAGTGGATGATAGAAACAGTTGATTTTTGTTCTAATTAAATATTAACAAAGAACAAAATTACTTTTACGAAAAACTTATACATCGCTGAAAACAATCCACTAACAATATGTTTAAAGACGCTAGACACGCACTGAGGCCAGGCGTGTCCCGAGGTCCAAAACATTGGGAGCCGTCGATGAATTTTAGGAGATTTTCTAAAAAGTTTCAACAATATTCCAAGCATTTTTGTAAATTTTTCAGAAATTTTGAAAGATTCTCGAGATTTTTTTAAAAAATGTCTTCAATTTATCCACAATTTTCAATATCTTCTGAGTTTTTTTAGATTTTCAAGATGTTCAAAAAGTTTTCAAGGATTTTTTAAAGTTTATAAAAAAAATTTTAAATTTTTTCGAAATTTAAAAAATAATCGCGACGTTCCTTGCAAGTTTCTTCATAAATTTGAAGATTATTTCTAAAACTTTTCGAAAATCCTCGTAAACTGGCGAGCAAAAGAAACAAAATTTTCTAAGATTAGGGGGACGTTGCGGCCCCCCATCGGGACGCCCCTGCCTGAGGCCATCATCATTATGAATATCATACTTCTCATTAGACTTTAGTTTCGATCTATTACTAGAAGAAAAAATTTTTTTTTACGTTGCAAATCTCTGAACATTGATAATAAATAGTGGGACTAAATATTTATTTTCACTAGCCATAGCATATATGCATTCTAATTGTTAGTCATTTATCACTATCTAACGGTAAATAGTAAAGCCGATTATGTATTCGACACTAATTTATTTGTTCAATTAATAATAATTATTATTTTTCTCGCTCAATTATTTTCATTAAATCAAAGTATCATAGGATAAGAAATCACTAACTGATAGTTAGTGAGTGATGACGCGCATCACACACTTAACTACTACAAAATAGTTATGAAAATGTTTTTGTTTTAACCTGTTTTTCATGAATGACGCAGAACGAAAACTGCAATAGTTAAAAGAGAAAATTCTACAGACAAATACGTTTAAACGCCGTTTTCGCCGATTAATGCCTGCCTGAATAGAACAGGATCAAATATGCTTCTTTTCTACTATATCAGATCAACAGTTTTGTTCAGAATGTAGAAATGTTAGTTCCATTTGCCATTTTAAATCATGACAGATGAAACCAACAATTTTGTAATTGTTTTCCTAAGGAAATAAGTATTTCATGATAAAATATTTCCATTAGTACAAAATCTACTTAAAAATTATATCGACTTAACGAGATAAATAACTGATTCATTCTATTATATATTTGTAGCAATGTATTTAAAATCAATATTCTGTTGGATTATTGTCATTTGTTGTATTAACATATATATTATCAGTCGATATTCTTTCGTTCAACAACAGAATAATGAATGTATTATCGATCGATTAAATGCTACAGAAATATGGACATCTCAATTTTTAGAAAATAGTATTCATTTAGTAATTGTTACAGCAAATAATGAGTTCAATGATATGGCTTTAAATCTAATTAAATCTATTCTTTTTCATCGACGAAAATCTTACAATTTAACGTTTCATATTTTCACAGATTGTCAAGGAAGAATAACTCTTTCAAATTATTTCAAATATCTCAATAATGATTGTACTGAATTTCGATTATATCCACTTGAAAATCTTATTAAAAGTAGTCAAAGTTTTTTGGATAGACACCATATAACTAATACTCATTATTCTGGACTATATGCATTCTCAAAAATTTTTATACATGAATATTTACCATCTGATATATCTCATATTATACTTTTGGATGCTGATATCATTGTTTTAGATGATATATATTCGATATGGCAACAATTTCTATTGTTTACATCCAATACCACTGTATTGGGATTAGTACCGTGGTATCCATCGTTACCGATTGATTATAAATACAATGGTTTATTACCTGATCCATATATAACAGGCGTAGTTCTCTATGATATTAAAATATGTCGATCAATCAACTTTACAAAACTGTTAAGTGATGCTACTAATAATGCATTCAATCAATTCCAATTGAAAAGCTTCATAACAGCAGATCAAACTATTTTGAATCTTTTCGCAATGTACTATCCAAAATATATTGTTGCTCTACCATGTTATATTAATGGACATACTTATCATTATTTGATAGATGGTCCAACATGGAAATCCGCTTGTAAAAATCAATATCCACGTACTACGCATGTTGTTCCATCTAAACGCTTAAAAGATCCGCTTGATTATTTCGGACATTTGTATATATTTTACAAAAAGATGCCAATTGAATGGCTTTCTTATTGTGGAAGTACTCGCTTCAAATTATTGATCAAATGAATTATTTTCTTTTTCATATTTTTTCATAGGAAATATTAAAAGTCAAAAAACAAATACTAATGTAATATCGGCACCTCAAAACTTCTTACAAAATCGAACGCCCTCATATTGTTTTATAATTGTATTAAGAGTATTCATCAATAAACAATAATAAAAAAACAGAATAACAATTATTACATATGGTTTTGATTGATTTCGGTCTCTTTCTAATTTTATTAACAAGTGCGTAGAAGAAATACTGTGAGCATGCACAGCTGTTTGATTCATATGATAATAAAAGACATAAGGACATAAAAACGTACAGTGGGTAGAATCTGACAAAAAAAACGTAATAAGAAAAAAGAGAATGTAAAACGAATAAGAACATTTTACATTGATAAAGATTCAAACAATTGAAGAAGCATTGATTACTGTTTTTCAGGCATCATTATTATTGAGAATAAATGTAGATGAATATCACCATTGATTCATACTTACATCTACAATGGATTCGAAATGTATTAGTTTGATTGTGAAAGCATTCATTTAATTTGCATGTATAGCCATCGTTAGATTTATAAGTTATCAAATGAATTATGTTATTGGTGCAATTATTACATTTGGTCGATATTTTAATAGTTTCATTACAGATGTTTTAAGTTTGCTAGTAAATTGAAACAGAGAAATCATGACCATTGGTAATGATAAATTAACAAATACAAAAACAATTCGTAAATAATATTTTGGTGGAATAGTAAAAAATGATATGAAAGCAAATAATCCATAAGGAAAATCAGATTTAAATAAAATCATTATAAGTATAACTATACGGCGTGCCATTTTAAATTCTCGTTGTACTCGTAACTATATATTGACAGGCATTATATTTTTCCGCATTTCGTTTACATGACAAATTAATATAAAATAAATAAATATAATTAATGAGATAGAAATTATATAGGAACAAAGTGCTAAATAAATTACGGAGAAAGAAAATCGAAGAGGAACTTGACATATTTGATTATCAACATTGTAGATTATTTCATTGGAAAATAAAAATTCTAAAAGATATATAAAAGCAAATATCCATGAGAAACAAATAAATAGTAGTTGTGTTCGTACTGTTCGCAAATATAAATCTTTCTGATAAACAACAGCAGTATATCGATAGATGGATTGTACTAAATAAGAACAATTTTGTATAGTACATAAACTATAACTCATGTATGCTCGAAAAACACAAAATGAATCTTGATATTAAATTTGTTTAAAATCATTTTTAAGTGTAAAAATACTCATCAATAATAAACTACTTGCAAATAGAAGTTGAGCTAAACATGAATTAGCAACGAGTAACATTGGAATTGTATGACATGTTTTATCAAAAATAATAACAAATAAAAAGAATATTGCAAGACCAATAGCTATAATAATACATATAATTGATAAGATATCAAGAGGAGTAAACTATGTTTCATTAATTGTAATCAATAATGTTGAATTCATTTGTTTTTTTTATGAAAAGCAAAAATGAGTTGATTTTATTTTATTAATATACTGTTTCCCATTGCTGAAATTTATTATTAAAATATTCAGTCTTCACATTTTTTTATTCTTTCATTAAAGAAATAAGCTTAGAAAAAATTATTATTCAATTTAAAATTATTAACAGAAAAAAAGCTTAAATATTGCGTTAATAACTAAATCTTTTTAATTCATAAAATAGTAATAGATCATTAGCTTTATTCAAATTGATATAAATATTCATTCAAATCACAATCACAATATCTTCTTTTATTTCTTTTATAATTAGCTATGCTATTTAAAACGATTAGTATAATGAGATAACTAAGTACTTGTCATCATCATTTTTAAGTTGAAAAAAAATTTCATGATAATTCAATCTGTCTTATAGGTACAATCTATTCTTATATAAGCACTGGTAACACAAAGAGATTTACGAGAGTAAATCCGTGTAATTAGGTTTTTCCAACTAATTTCATTGAATCATATACCAGCTGTTTAATAAAAATAATACTGAGATAGTAGTATTGATTTCATGAAAGTTTTTAAAAACTATCAACAAAATAACTTGCTGTTGGTCATTCATTAAATTATGCTTTAATCAATCAGTATTTGAATCTGAAATTTGAAGTAATCAAATAATTTTTCGGATATTTGATAGCTCTTTCAGGGTAGAGGTAGAACAGTTCGCAGTTCCAAGTTCAGATGAACTGGTTAAAAGAACTGCCAATACAGTTCCTCTGAAAGAACTGTTGATAAAGTTCAGTTCTATTCAAAGAACTGTTGGGTACAGTTCAGTTCCTTTCAAAAGAACTATTTAACAGTTCCCAAGAACGGAACTAATATAGAACTGTCCTACCCTATTCCAGGGTGAATCTGACAAATGGATATAAATTCTGTGAATATCGTTAACTAATTTCAATGTTTTAAAACTAGATATTATACAGATTGATCCAAAAGTTGGTTTACAGAAAAAAAAATTGAATATCTTCAATATAGTTCAGACAAATGAGCTAATGTTTTTCATCAATAACAGAACATACTGAGAGAGATACTTTATTAACCCTAGGAGTCCTAAGTGGGTCATTTCTGACCCAGTCTCCGTCAAATTTTCATACAATGAAGATATTTTATTGTTTTGTACCTTTCAAAAATAGGATGTGAAGTGAGTATAGGATGACCTTAAAACGCAAAAAAAAGGTTTGGGACTCCTAGGGTTAAGTATCTCTATCATTGACAGAAAAAATCAGATGCTATGCTTACGTCGTAATGGAGATACTCAAGTTTTTTCTTTCGGTAAATCGAATTTTAAACGACTCAGTAACTTATTAAATCATTTGAAAATATTTCTTACGCACTATCCTTTTAGTTTAACATGTGTCTTTACATAACTCGGCAGAAGATCGGATTTTTTTCAAAAGATAAATAAACATATGAGATTCTATATATACTCGTTATTTTATACATAATGATCTTCATCGGTTCTATTTATTTCCAAATAATCATTTTATGACCGTTTTTTTAAATAAAAAATAAAATAAATTGTTTATGTGAATGTTGGTACTATGTTAATCGGTCGTCTTCGTACTTTTTTCATAATAGATGCTTTTAATGGTTCGGCAATTTGAAATAAAGCAATCATCATAAATACTAATGATATCACAATAAATATATAAGCAATTCGAAAATGATATTTTGGTGCACTATTAAAAAATGACATTAATATAAATAGAACATACGGTACACCGAGTACCATTAAAAATAATACAAGAGTAACAATTCGATGAATCATTCGTAATTCTCGTTGTGCACGAACTAACGTATTAGCTGGAGTAGCACGTTTACCCATTTCTCTAACATATAGAACCATTTTAAAATAGATAACCATAATTGCTCCTAAAGGAAACATATAGATATAAAATGCATTAAAAATAGTTAAGAATGAAAGACGAAGAGGCATTTGACATATTTGATCATCAATAAGATATATGATTTGATCAGTAAATATTAATACAATGATATAAATAGTGCCACAAATCCATGTTATAATAATAAGAATAGTTTGTAATCGAACTGATTGCCAAAATAAACGAGAGGGATAAATAACAGTAATATATCTATAGATTGCTTGTAGTAAATAAGAATACATTTGTATCATTGTTATTGCATAACTAATCGAACCTCCTAGAATGCAAAATGAATAACCAAATTGATTTTGTTTACGATCATTTTGAAGTGTAAATAAAGCGATAAGTAATACATCAATTGCATAAATAAGTTGAGCTAAATATGAATTAGAAACAAGTAACATCGGAACTGTATGACATGATTTTTCGAAAAGAATAATATGTAAAAAAATCAAAGCTAGTATAATAGCAATAATAGCACAACTAATTTTGAAGATATCAATAGGAATAAACCAAGGTTCAATATCTATCGTAGTTGAATCATTGTTAAATGCCATTATTTCTACAACGAAAAACAAAACATATAACAAGAGATGTGTATGTAAGTGCAAGTTGTTTATGTGTATTTAGTATTGTAGAAAATGAACATCTGATGTCTTTAACTTGAAGATAAAATGCTCATTGTCATTTTTTTAATAAAAGAAAGTGGCATATTTCATTAGTACATGTTTCGAAAGATAAGAAATCAATACAGATAATAAGTTAATTAATTTAATTTTTTAGTAATAACTTCTATAGGCTTATCGCCCATTGGGACCGATTACTAGTTATTATTTAAGATGCACATCTGGTCGGATTCTATCGTCATTTTTTTTCGCTGTCTGACACCTTAATGAAACGAAGAAGAAAGATATTTAACATTATATGTCAGCAAATTTTATATAGACTAGGAGTTGAAAGAGTTTTTCAAGGTATGCATGGTCAGTTACAATATTGTTCGTCAAAAAGTTCATACTTTGAACAAGTAGCTATCTAGAACCATCTAAATAATGAAAACGATTTCATACTGTATCTATATCTTTCAAAAGAAACATGAAGAAAGAGAAAGCAGGGATTACTGACATATTATTCCTTTTACATAAATTAATATGCACATATGAAGAAGAGAAACAATTACTAATTAGTGAAGTAGTGTATTTTATATTTTTATTTCCGAGCCAGAAGATTTTTCTACGTCATAGAATTAATGTCATTGTGTGAAACTTCTTATACCCTTGAACAAACGTACTTGTCCCTCTACATTATATATTTTGTATAGTTCTAGAGATATACGCACGTGAGAATTCTAATAAAAAGTTTGTCAATAAAATTCAACTACCGTCTAAATAAATGATTATCAATTAGTTAATAATAAAACTATTCTAAACAAGAATGTCGCAAAAGGATAGTATTTATAATAATGCTATCAAATGTCCATTATTGCTCAAAGATATACTGTCTAGCTTCTTTTTTTTTCAAAAATAGTTTATTTCCTAATGCGACATTCTATAATTTTGATTAAAAGTTCTGCTATTTATATAACTTATTTTAATATATAAAAACAATCTCATGTGTACTTATCGAACTTATTTGTAACTGTTAACTCTTTGAAGCCGGGTGATGCTTATATGCATTGTCGATTCTGAGTTTGTTAAAATCAGAAGATGGCAACTATCTATTTATAATTCTATTTCATATTGCGATGAACTTAGGGAAGGTATTATATATATACTTGTGATACATCTCAAGTAGGAAATGAAATTAATTAAAAATTAATAGTAAACTATTTCAAAAGATTTCTTTTTTTCTAATTATTTTCCAAAAATATAAATCCGTCGTCAAAAGGTTAACACAGGGACGATAGTTTTAAAATAAAATATTACTGAATAGACGGAAGTATCCTGACTTGTAAATAGTTATAACCTTTAGATTTTAATTTTGATCACAACATGCACATATATATAATAAATAAATGGTAATTGAACGTATATTCTATTTATAAATAATATAATTATTATGGATACGTTGTATAATCTAAAAATGCTGTTATTCAGTACGTTAGATCGAGAAAAATCATAATTTAATATATCTTTGTAGATTAAAATTAGATTGTCCTCAGTTTGAATACTGACATTAATTAACATTAAAGAATAAAAGGACAGTATATACCAGCGAATATGCTCATGTTCATATTCAAAAACCACCCGCCGTTTACTTCTGCATCCAAAAAGCAACAAAATTAATAAAGAATATTTTTTCTAGAATTATTTTAACATTTGACTTGATTCTTATTTGTAAAAATTACGCTAATTGGAGAATTATGAATTTCTATGAAAATGTATTATGTAAGAAATAGAAACTATTGTATTTCAATGATACTTATATAATTTCGTATCTTATGAATAGAATAAATTTTTGAAATATGAATTGTTATTTACATCAAATGATAACCTATGTGAATCAACGTTCTTCACTATTAAATAGACATTGTATCACATAATATTGATTGTCAGTCGTATAATAAACAATACAAAAAAAGAACCGAACGAAAAAAGAATGTAACCTTTTTTTAATACGAAGTCTGTCTATCGAACAAAGTAGATCAACATGAAAAGAGATCGATTGATTTCTTTGGCTAAGGATTACTCGATTGATCTTTTTTTTGTTCTTTTATTTGACATAATCTTTCTTATATTGTTTTATCTGATAACAAAACAGTTCAACGATGAAAATATGCAGCTGTTGAACCATCATAAACGACCCTGTGACTGTAAGCATGTGTGTTGTCTCACGTTTAGTTAATATTTGAGAACTTGTATAGTTCGACTACGAGAAAAAAAACGAGATCATTTGATAATTTTTTTTCTTCAACATTGTAAATGATGTTTAGAAAGATCTTTCTCCTTTTTGGTAAGAAATAAAAATACATGACGAATGCTTTGTAGACAGTAGAATATAGATAAAAGCTTCTTCTTGTATTATTTTAGCTTCTAGTTATGGTTATGCTGTTATTATTATAATTTGCTTTGCTATTAAAATATCATTCGCTGAATATGATTGTTCAGCAAAAGAAGATGGCTGGTATTATGATCCAGAATTTTGTCATATTTATTGGCGTTGTATACATGGTACATCAGAAGAATTTGAATGTGCTAGTGGGACTGCTTGGGACCATTCTGCAAGTCGTTGTAATTGGCTTGATAGTGTAGACTGTTCACGTGCAGAGAAAACAACAGCAAAAGTTACATCTGAAGATGAAGAAACGAATGATGATGAAAATGAAACCGATGATGACACGTCTATTGGTAGTACAGTAAAATCAAAAAAAAAGAAAACAACACCAAAAAAAAGAATGTTGGATGATAATGAAGAAGATATTGATCGTGAGAATTTATATCACTAGTGCATGAATGCTTATTTTGTTGAATATAATCTTCTTCTTCTTCTACTACTTCTGAATGATCAATTAAACCTTCTCTTCCAGTTTTTTGTTTCACTGTTTGTCAAGTAAATTCATCGGCTGAAACATTTTGTGCTGGTCGTGATGGATTTTTTGCGTAAGAAAATAATCTTCTTTTGTGAATGATGATGTAGCATGTGCATTTTGTTTATATATCAGTGATCCTGATTATTGCACGAGATATTATCGATGTGCGCATGGTGTTGATCAAGGATTTGAATGTCCTAAAGGTACTGCATGGGATGAAGAAAGCAAATCATGTGCATGGATTGATCGAGTTAATTGTGATGAAAAGAAATTAGATTATTCAACAAGTACCACTACTGAAGGCATGAAATTCTTGAAATAAATTATATTTTATTTATTCCGATTATTTATTTTCAATTTGTTTTATTAGATACAACAACATCAAATAAACCAATTGATACTGAATCGATTAAAACACATGCAAGTATACCATCAATCGTAGCACCAACACATAGAGGAGATAGTCATGATGGTACATCAGCTATTGAATGTCAACCAACTGGAATTTATTCAATTGCTGATCCAACTGAATGTAATAGTTATTATCAATGTGATAAAGGTGTACGCATACGACTTAATTGCCCTGAAAGACAATTATTTGATACCGATAAACGTCAATGTATGGATTATGAACGAGTTTTTTGTGGAGCTAGAGCACTTAATTTAGCGGATAAAAATCAATGTAAGTTTTGAATAATAAATAGAAAAAAATTATTGATCATGATTAAAAATAGGTGTCAATCGACGTGATGGCATTCATCCAGATACAGAACGTAATTGTAGTTTTTATTATCAATGTGTAGCAAAAATTAAAGTCCGAGAAGCAAAATGTCCAGATGATCTAAAATTTAATAGTTTAACAACGAAATGTGGTCCAGCTAGTGCTGTTCCAATGCCATGTGGTACTTATATTCTCGGAAGTGCATCAGTACTATGTATGTTTAAATTTAGTATTTATATTGAAAATAGTTTACATCATTTAGATCGTGAAAATGTTAGAATTTTAATTTCATTTATTTCAATGATATTATTTCTGATCGGTTTTGAATTATGATCAAATGAACATTCGTTTTTTTTCTGCTTGTCGTTTTTTTTCTACTCTTATTGTACGTGCCTATTGTTGCTGTAGTTTATGTTTTATTGTCTAGTTATAATAGAAAAAGAAAAAGATTATTTATAATAAAGAATGCAATATAATGAACAAGTTGTTCTAAATGAAAAAAAAGAAAGATTTTGTTTATCAATGAAACGTTCTCATTAATTATATAATAAAACGATCTACACAAGTATCGTTTAGCCTTTTTATTTCTTCAGTATACATTGATAATGATTATATCAATCGTAATCTATTACGTCATTATAATTAATCCTACGCATTCGTTCGTTTGTTGTATTCAGAATATATTTTATTTTTATTTGTTACATCGGATAAAAGAACCCATATAGAATAATGAACGAAGAAAGAAATTAAACCTCAAATAAACATACTTGATCTAATACAGAGTTTGGTGTTTGTATGTATTACGTGCGTGTGTATATGTCCAATTAAATCGATGTACATTTTGTTTTTCTTTTCTTAACAAAAACAAGAAGTAAGAAAAGAAATTTTCATTTAGTAAATGAATAATTAAAGAATGGATAAAATATGGAGAATAATTTCTTGTGGTGGTTTATAATTTTCTTTTTAAATTCTTCTATTCAATCACGTATTTTATCGAATCTAAATGAATCAACGAATAAAAAACAAACGTCGACGAACTCGACCAACAACAATATCATACAATATCAGTCGATTTTTTCAACTAATTTGGCAACGATTACAACAACAATTTCTTCGAACAACAACAACATTCAATCACTTATAACAAAACCGAATTCGTATCTTTATAATCCTGATGAAGACGAAACTTTATTAGAACGTATTAAACGTGAAGCAGCACCATTTGTTTGTAAAAGTATGATTCACTATATTAAAATTTTTATATATGACTGATTTCTTTTTTATATAGCCGATGGTTATTTTCCTGATCGACATAATTGTCAAATGTATCACATATGTACATCAGGTGTTGATACAGTAGCTATTTGTGCTGCAGGTACTTCATGGGATCCAACAAAGAAAAATTGTGCATGGGAAAATACAGTTGAATGTCGAAAAGGATTGAGAAAATGGGATAAAATAACAGATATTCGAGGAGGTAATTTTCATGAAAATATTCTATTTAATATTCATTTCGAAAATTTTAGTAACTCTATTTGCAACTGATCCAAGTCTTGCTTGGCGTTCGACAAAATTAGCAACAACACGACAACCTATTAAAGTTGACTCGAATTTTACCTGTGAATATGATGCTGAAGGATATTTTCCAGGTATTTTTTTTATCTTTAATAAATCGAATGATATTATTGTGTTTTTCTCTTAGATCCAAAATATTGTCATATATATCATTTTTGTGCTATTGGTTCACATCAAGTACTACAATGTCTTAATAATCTCTGGTATTCAACAGAAACACAAGGATGTGATTGGCCAGATAAATCAGATTGTTAGTTTTTTATTTTTCAATTTATTTACAAATTTATTTGTTTGAATAGGTAAAGCTGGTAATTTACATACATCATCAAAAGCATCAACACTTATGATTGATGGTGATGGAAATCCTGTTACAACTCCAAGAAATTTTCGAACAAACGTTTATCCACAAATTGAATGTCCACCAGGAATACAAAAACATTTTGCAGATCCATATGATTGTTCTGCTTATCATTATTGCAATGGTAGGTGCAGATTTTCGTTTTATAAGATATTATAAAACGTATAGAACTTTTCTCTTCTCTTTAAATATGCAATAAAATATCTTATATCGTTCTATGGATTTTTTTTTTCTTTTTCATAGGTGGTGTCGACAAACCATCGTTTTGTGATGCTGGTCTCTTCTACGATAAGAGTAAATTTTTAAAAAATAATATATAATTTTTTTAAAAATATAATATTTATTTAGAACATGGTTGTCAATGGCCAAAAGATGTTCCTCATTGTAAGTAATTCTCTTTCTCGTAGAGAAGAGTCTAGCAAGAATAAATTGTTTGTTTGTTTGATTGATTGCTTGTCTGTCCACAGGGTCAAAAAAACATCGAAAAAGACATTTCTAGAGGTTTTTTGATACGGGGACTTCGAATCTGAGATCTGTTGGGTGACCATAGTGAGGGGGGAGAGAGGTCAAAAAAACATCGAATACCGATTTTTTACGGTTTTCCAGTAAATTTGAAGAGGATGCATTTCTACGAGAAAGAGCTAAGCGATTCCTCGGACGAGCGTTACTTGTTAAGCTATTCTTAAATTATCTTCTAAAAATATATTTACAATAAAAAGGTCAACATAAATGTCCACCTAATGGTCAACGTTTACGTTTTGTTGCTACTCATAGTTGTTGTCATTATTATGAATGTATTAATGGTCATTTAAAAGAACAAGTATGTCCATTACATAAACTTTATTCAGTTGAAACCAAAAGTTGTGAAAATTTTCAAGTTGTTAATTGTGGTTCACGTGAAAATTGTATCGATCCTTGTAAGACTTTAGTTTTTTTTTCATTTCTTATGTTTTTGTTATATTAGGTGATTATGATAATTCTCCATTATGTGAATTTAAACCTGTTTGTCGAGGTAAACCAAATGGTAATTATGTTGATCAATATCGACCTAATTGTCAATTTCATTATACATGTTTGGAAAGTCGAACATTTAATTATACAGCATGTGAATATGGTCATAGATTTTCCGTTCAACATCAAAAATGTTTACCTGCTAAACAAGTTCGATGTTTTGCAATAAAAAATTATCAATTTTCATTTAATCTAATTTTTTTCTTCATTGTATTTTTTACAGATTCTATGTTAGATTTTCATTTGGTGAATATTATTTAATAAATTGTTTTATCAGATTTTAAAGTCAATAACTAATTATTTGCATGAAAGAATAGTATGTAATACACTGATCTTATAGGTGTTGTTCTTTCAATTAAAAAATATTCTATAGATATAAAAGAAATTCAAATTACAACTAACATATTATATCAATAAAT